TACTGAGCTCAGCCCTGCGCGGCTCGGCCTAAGTGTCTTAAATTCGCGGTTTCTCAGGTTTTTGACGAAATCGGAACTAGGAAAAGCAGGGGGAAATCATAAAGACCCCATAAGCTGGTCTGGGTGCTTGTTGGTCAATACCTTGCTCGAATGAATATGTATTTAAACTCCTGTTGCTCTTTTGACCTCGTGAAGCAGGTCAAGAGTGGGTATTTATTAGCATTTAAAAAATAACACCCATAGTGCGAGTGCTGCCCTACAGCTTAAACCATAGAGGCAAAACTCGATGTCTAGGGTAAGGGTAAGGTGGAATTTTAATCTGATTCCGGGAAAACAACCTGATTAACCCATCAATTTACTTCCTTGCTGCTGTTTGGCATTCTCACAGTGAACATCTTTCCACCATAGAAAAAGACACCAATGGCGATGCTTTGTGGGTTTGGTGTTATCCGTCCATAACAGCTGAACTGCGGAGTCTGTTGCTGCGAAAGTGCTGCCTTACAGATGAAAATAAATTGCTTCATACGTTTGTGTTTGGCCAGTATAAAAGGTTGTGGTTCTACATCACAACTGTGGAAGTTCAAGATTCTCCAGCCTTGAAAAAGGTAGGACATGTCCCATTGGTTTTTTTGGTAGAGTGCGGGAAAGACGTCTGCAGAGCTTCCTCAGGCAGTTGAAGCAGTGTTTCCCCTTCATATGCTGTGAGAAAGGGAAGGGATTTGAGGTTTTGTGTGCTCACAAATGCAGCTCTTGCCCAGTCTGCATGTTAAGGTTTTCACCAAGATATATATTGGATGGAGGTACAGAGAGACTGAGATACTCATTACACAATTTAGATTCTATGTATTAAAATGGAGATGCTCTTTCATGTCATTGTTTCTAGTTACCTTGCATTTCAAGTTCAGGATTTTTTTTTCTTTTTTTTTGTGTCAAAAAAGCTCTATAAAGGGTCTTTCATAGTGTCTGAAATCTCGTTTGTATAGAACTTGATACTTTTTTTTCCCAAAGGGTTGAGTTATCTAGGTATTTTCTTTGCTGCACTGATAACTGAAAGAGTGCAAATATGCTTCTGCCTTCTATACATTCCCTGTTATGAAGATCATTAACCTGTTGTTTATTCAAGTTTCATATTTCATGCTATATTGTTAAGTAGAAATGTTAAACAGAATGTTGCTTGCCTTTCCTCACTCCAAGCTTACATCTCCTGTGAACCTCAAAGATGTAAAATAAAACATGTCCCAGTGCTGTCTCTGACAGTGGCAGTGGGAGATGCTGTTTAAGGGGGACATGTGAGCCTGGGCAGATCAGCCTCAAACTGTCCCAGCCCACAATCATTCAATTAAGGAAATTAAAGAGTATTTCTGTTTCTGCTATCCATTAATTTTTTTCTGGTCTCTTTCTGAATATGTTGATGCTGTCTGCCTCCACAGCCTCCTTTGGCAACAAATTTTGGAAGTTTCCTACCTGCTGTGGGAAAGAAAAATGTCTTTCTCTCTTTTAAAATAATCTCACGAGATTAAAAGAAAGCAACTCTTAAGGAGTAGATTTAGCAGAAGATGATATGTACTAGGGCTGACTCAGTGGAAATGAGTCACATCAGAAATCTCTTAACCAGGCCTTTTAGTTATAACTTGGAGCTGCTACTACTGCTCACTTTTTTTTTTTTTAAATTGAAACACCTTGTCAGACTACTTGCAGTAAGTTCAATGATGTGAAAAAGACTGTTCATATGTGGTTATTAAATAAGGTGTGTGTTTTTCTGTTGTGTGCCTTACTCAGGTGACCCACTTTTCCATTGTTCTGATGGCCAAAGACTTCAACCCAGAGAAATATGCAGCCTTCACTAGGATACTGTGTAGGTATGTATAAAAACTGTTTTGAGGTACTGCTCTGTGCATGTTTAGATCTTGCCAAGGCAAAGGATTAAATTTCATTGTGTTGTGTCTGCATTTGGTCTAACAAGCTGCTGGAAACTCAGTCCTACAAACTGTGAATCAGATTATATAAATCCTTCATTTGAGCTTATCTTTAGTTCATACAGGAACTGTTGGGTGAATGTCAGATGCCCAGCAGGCTTTGATGTGCCTTCTCCAGACACACACCACCACCCACCCACATGGTCCTTTTATCTGAGAATGTATTTTTTAAAAGTATAAACATTTGGGCAGAGGTCAGTGCTGTAGAGTCAAAGGTCACTGCATGTATGGTGGACAACTTGTGTCCTTCCACAACATGTCTGCTACAGATGCTTCTTGCATCTCCTCTGAACTAAGCACAGCACCCAGCAATCTTTTTGCTTTTCCTCCAGGAAAATGAGAGCCCTCTGCATCTCGAGGTCTTTGGCTCTGTCTTCTCTCTTCTTCCAGCCAGCCTGCCATCTTTTCCTTGCCTTGTCCCGTTTACTCACTTTGTTCCACATTCCCATTCTCATGATCTCTCTGCATCTTTCTTTGCTTTTCCTTCAGTTCCCAAATTAGTTGGGTCCTGCTTCCCAAGTATTCCCTAAGATTTTGCAGTTAATTGGAGGCAATTGCAAGGTTATTGTATCACAAACTTGGGAGTGCCATCAGGCTTACCAGTTCTGCAGTGTATTGAAAAACTTGAGGTTGTTCTTTGCCACTGATATATGAAATACTCAGATTTGCTGTGGATCTCATTAATGCTGATTTATCAGCTAATACTTATCTTCAAATCCAGGATGGATTCCTCTAAACATGATAATTGTGTTTCAAAAGTGACATTGCTTTATACTACAGCTAATATGGAAAGCAGATAGTTGAGAGCTTCAGTGCTATTCCTGAAGTGCCTTAAACTGTAAAATAGGTTATGGTGTCTCTCTGCTGTCTGGGTTTTGTTGACATGTAGTTGTTCCGGTTTGGGGTTTTTTTTTTAATGAGTATCAAGGACATGTTTATATTTTTCTTTCATTATTTAACAAAGAACGGAAGAATGTCTAATGATACTTGGGTAAATAATGAAAAACTATTCACATGGTCTGCATGTAATAACAGGAGTTACTGTAGTAGTTGCTTTTTCACAAAGCAGGTACCTTCTTCTTAAGCAAAGAATCCTTAGACTGGACACGTGCTTACATCTTTGTGTTTTATTTCTATGTTGGTAAATGTTGGTTCTTTCATAAAATGGGAAACTCAAATAAAAATACAAGGTAGTTGTTTATCTTAAAAGACAGACCTGTTTTTCCGTGTTTGTCATCTAGGTGTCTAAAATAAGAACTCTTGCCAATAATATTGTTATTGGTGATACTGGGATTTTTGTGTGTGTGTGTGTGTGTGTGTGTGTCTCCTGGTGATGATTGCAGTCAAAATACCAGACTTCTTTCACACAGAATCTACTTGAAGCACGGAAGTCCAGTTAAAATGATGGAGAGTTACATTGCAGTCCTTACAAAGGGGATCTGCCAAAGCGAAGAAAATGGATCTTTCCTCAGCAAGGATTTTGATGCTCGGAAGGCTTATCTTGCTGGTTCCGTCAAAGGTTAGTTAATACCAGAAGTCTCTCTTCTGATTTCTTTTGTACAATATAAAATACAATCCAGTTTTCATGTATGCTTCAAGTAAATAGTGTTACCAGTTTTATCTGTGCTGTTATTATTGAGCTTCTTCAAAAAACAAATTATAATATCAGCATGTATATCTTCAATAAAATAATTTTCCCCTCTTTTCTAGATATAGTATCTCAGTTTGGAATGGAAACAGTTATCTTGTATACAGCATTGATGTTAAAGAAGAGAATTGTAGTGTACCATCCTAGAATAGAAGCTATCCAGGAGTTTACCAGGTACTTTGTCAATCCCTACCTCCCCATCCCCAAAAGTTCAGCAAATTTTGAACCCTCATTGAGAGAAATGCCCATATTTTATGGAAAAAGGAAAAATCTTTCTTAAACCTGTTTATTGAAATCCTGCTAAATCCCTCTTAAGGCTTTAGCCATATGTTTGTCAACTCAGAGAAATTTCACTGTAGAATGAATGATAAACTCTGCTTGCACTGATAGTAGAAATCTCTGTAGTTCATGTATATGCATGCCAAACAAGACCTAGTCATGCTAGTTCTTATCACATGCATTTCATACTGTGAAACTAATTAGTATAAGTAAAAATCTACTGTGTGTCAAGTAGCAATGTTTATTTCCCTAGGACTTTGCCTGCTTTAGTATGGCATCGACAAGACTGGTCAATTCTTCATTCATATGTACATCTAAATGAGGAGGAAGTGGAAGCCTTAAAAACCTGCACAGGTAGTGATAATTTATTAATCAAAAATATAAAGAAAATTTAATTTCAGTTTCCATTGCTGCAAGGTCTTGCACCAGTGCTCTTTGGGAGGAAAAAATGTTTACTTTCCTGTTATTGCTATTGTTCAGAGTTAAACAGCATCATTTTCTTTAGAAAAGTCAAATGAACGGGACAAGTATGTTAGAAGATAACTAGTTAATCTGGTGTTTCTGAGTATAGCTGCATCAGCCTACTCCTAATCACAGATGCAAAGCAGCTTTGAGACTTTTTTGATGTTGTGATCAGAGGGATCAAAAGTCTTACTGTTGTACAGAAGCAGCTCACTTCAGATAAGCTACTTTTTTTTTCTAATTCTACACATACCTAGTAACTGAATTTTTAGGATTTTTTTTTTTTTTTTTTTTTAATTCCTAACACTGGAGTTTTTATTCTGACTGCTGCTAGTGAAGTCTCTGGCTCCTAATCACAGGTAGACTTTACCAGCTATGTAGGAGTTTGATCTGTGCAACACATTGCTGTGTATGCGTAGTGCTCGACACATAATTCAGGAAGAGGCCCTTGATTTATGCGAAGGTTAGCATGACACGTAGTGTGGCCATTAAGAGGCTTCTCTATACAGAATAATGAGCAAGAAGACTACTCATCTTCAATATTTCTATAGCATTACCAGCAGTGCTTGTTTCAGCTCACTAAACATCTTCCACAGAGAAAAGATGCTCCAAGTTTGCTCACCTGGCATGCTATAAATAAGAAAATCTGCTGGTTTTATTACTCTGTTCCAGTCTAATACTGACTTAGTGACAAGGGGCTCTGGAGCAGAGATTCTTTTAAAGAGGAAATTCAGTGTCTTTTGCATTTGCAAATGAGTAATTTTAGTAGCAAGGTAAGAAGAGAGTTTAAAATTTCAAATTTATAACCTTTTTATATTGGATGTAGTGTTAGCAGTTCATCTGTGTTCAAGGCAATTTTAGAAATCAATTTTTAAGCTCCTCGGAAGTGAAGCATTCTGCTGTGTATACTTGTTAAATGACTGATAGCAAGAGAGCAACCTCCTGAGTCCAATGAGTAATGTGCCAAATACTCTTAGAACAGAGAATTTAGGACTGTGATTTTTCCACAATATCTTGGTTTTGTTTATGAAGATCCTAATCTTGCCAAAATTCTGCTCTCTAGGTTACATTGCTGGATTTACAGATTCTGAAGTGAACAGTAGACCAGACCTTTATGATGTGTATGTGAATTTGGCAGACAGTGAGATCACAATTTCCCCTGTAGTAAAAGGTTGGTTGCTTTTTATATTTTGGATTTAGAGGCCGTTTATTCCAGAGTTGGTAGTAGTTGCTGAGCCTCGCTGTAGGTCAAGCCATCTTGAGCCTTCTTCCATCCTGGTTCTGAAAAGCCAATATGTAAGCTTCTGTCTTTCAGTTTTATTGAGACCCTGGAAGACTGGTGAAAATTGGAATTTGGAAAGGCATGCTTCATCTTCCAACAAATGTATAATTGAGATTTTAAAACATCCATGTTAGACAGTTACATGGAAGAGACATTCAGCTGAATGCAGAGATATTGCATGAGTCTTCAGAAAAACATAGCACTGAGTACTTGGAGATTGGGGACTGTTTGAAAGGAAAGCTTGTATGTTCCTTGTCATCTGCTTAGGGCTGCTTTAGAGGTAGATAATTCGCCTGTGCTGGAATGGCTGTTGATAGGTCAGTGCCTTTACCAATAGATTTCAAATGGCAGTCATGAAGAGGACTTCTTGTTTTGGCCTGTTATTCATATGTATTTCTAGATATCACAGAAATGGTCGTTTTATGTGAATGTGTGCTTTTTCTTTTTTCTTACTCAGAGGCAATGACAATGGGAAAACTTCACAAAGAAATTGCACAACTAATTGTTCAATCTGCAGAAGACCCAGATAAATCAGACAGCCAAGTCATTAAGGTTAATACTTTTTTTTTTTTTTTAATTTTTAGTTTTAAATCTAGTTAAATTACTTCTATCACTAAATCTTGGTGGTAGGGGACAGTAGGAGAGAGATTGTCCCTGGTAATAAGTTGATCTCTTATACCCTCTGCTTTTTTACAAATGAGCATTTTTATTCTTCATACAGGTTTTTAAGGATGGTGTAATTGGTTTATATTATCACTTGGGTAACCACATTGCTGAAGAAACTTCAGAAATTGTGTTGATTTTTAAGACTTCGAGTAAAATTGGTTTTATTCTACAAAGCACATATTTTGCTCAATACCTTGTCAGTAGTATTGTCAATACCTTTGAAGAAGTCCTACTGAGGTATGGCTTCTCAGCTATAAAGCCTGATTTTTATAATGAATTTTTTTCGCTTCCTCCCCTATCTAATAGATTATTAGCAACTTAGTCAAAAGAGCTCAGTTAGGCCAGCGAGAGGAGCCTGTGGAATGACAGTGCTCCCTTTATTCAACATCGCACAAGAGTAGACTGAAGAGCTGTTGCAAGTTCACCTTAAAATAAATGGGGTCTTTATTTAAAATGAACTATTCATCATTGTTTTCTTTTTGTTCTGTATTTTTTTAAATAAGTATATGTTAAAACATTATAATATACAATACACAATTCATGGTTGCTTGTTTTTCTGTTCTTCAAGGATATTTCTCTGAAGACAAAAGAAATCTTGACTACTTTAGCCTCACTTACTGAAGTTTCTGATGGCAATGAAAAACCAACCCTTAACTCTGAGGCCCTGAAACAAAAGCGATTTCCACCAGCTACAGAAAACTTTCTTTTTCATTTAGCAGCTGCTGAACAAATGCTTAAAATCTGATTTTGATGCACTTCAATGTTATGGACCAACTCAAAAATACTGTCTTTGCCATACAGATAGGAATACCTGCTATTTCATATGGAAAAATTAAAGGTATAAGAGTGAATGTATATTAACTGTGATATAATGCAGAATATTGGAGCTTGACGTGAGACATATGGAGGCCTGTTTGGGAACATTCCTGGTGTTGTTATCTTCCCCAATTATAACTTTGTATATATGGCTCCCGTATTTTGTACCACAATGTGGGTGCATATGCAAGCAGCATGTGCCTGTGTGTCCAGGCTGTGCAAGACATTATTATAGTGGCTGTTTGTCCTGCGAGTTCCAGATGTCAGACAGCTGTCTTCTTGTTCGGACTTGCCTTCCCAGGGTCTGGAACATGGTGCAGCACACATGCTGTAAAACCAGGGCAGTTTGGATGTGCTAGTCTCTGCACAGGGATATGCTGAACAGGCTGTTGGTCTGGGCTTCCAGGTATGTTAGCCTGTCAGATACTGCTCTTGCTGTGGACTGCCTGATGACCTGGAAATCCCACATAAATGGACAAGTTCTCTTCTTTCTACCTGAAAGTGTCTAGGTGTAAAAAAAGGATGGCTGGAAAAATCTGATGTGGTAGCCTTAGTATATAAAGGAAGAGATATTTTAAAGCTCAAGTGGGAGTTGAGCACCTCTTTTGGACTCTTGCCTTAGAGGTTTTCCCTCCTTTCACTCTGTCCCATGCCTGTGATGGAGGGAAAAGAGGACAGGATTACTATATTCAACCCGGGGCTTCCTGAGCGGGGGGTTACAGACAAGTGCTGCTTTACAGCTGGAGTCACTTAAGAAGTTGTTAGGGTTCTCGGCTGAGAAGATACCTGGCCATTCATTCCTGATCCATTTGACAGAAAATCAGATGAATTAAAGCCTAATGGACTAGAAATGTTCAAATGGGCAGGTACAACACAGGTGGAGCATCAACCTCTTAAACTGCTCAAGCTGTAACATGGGCACTATCTGATGGTGCTCTGTGTAGACAAAATGTAGGTGGAAACTTTTGAAGTAATAGTGAAAACTGGGAAATAGTTTAGAGAAAATTTAACATTTGCCTACTTGTTTTGTTGCATAGCCATAACTCAAGAGATTATTACTTTTTTTTTTTTTTTTTTCATTGAGCAGCATGAAATACTTCAGTTACCCAATAGGCAAATCAGTCAATTTTGCAGTAGCACTTTGTTACAAGAAAAAATAACCTTTTTCCTGGCCTTTGTACAGATAGCTATAGCATGTCATTTTAAATAGAGATTTTATACTTATGATTAAAACTTGAGTAATCAATATTTATATTGTTAAATAATTGCTATTCAGAAACTGATAGAGCTCATCAATAACTCTGTGCAAGCAATATTGGTTTGAAAAAGGGTTGTCCTTTTGCTATATATCATACATTAAGGAAATCTGTTTTAGAATGTGGATAAGGAATGTGACATGTATCTATAAAGTGGCTAGTTATTACAGTCAGTACATGAAAGTGTTTCAGAATAATCCCCTATTTTCAGGGGTGTAAAATTCTACTTTAAACAGTTACTCTGCAGTTTAAATTCTGAACACAGAACGTGCTTTTTTTTTCAACTTCTGAGAAAAATACTGCAGTTGCCTTCATTTACCTGTAAGTGCTCTGCAGCTTTTTTTTCATGTTTGCCCATTAATGTTTTTTCTTATTGGTTCTGTAGTATTGCTGCTTCTGTTTGGGGACTTTCACAACAGTCAGAATAGCAGAACTGCAAAATTATGCTGAAAATTCCTACTTTAAAGTCCACTGAAATGGCAGTCTTTCACAGAGAAAAACCTGAACATGCTTTTTAGTCAGCTGTCTTAACACCACATTGTAACTGTGAAGAAATTCACCTAGGTTTCTTATTAACAAAAAGCCTTAAGGTATATAATTAAGGTAGTGTGGGTGTTGGAGACAACCACAAAAAGCAGAGAAGCTCAGTTACAATCTAAAAATTGAATGCTTGCTTTGCTTCCTGTTTTGGAAATGTTTAAGTTGAAAATCTTGGTGTTATGTTACATCTTGTATTCTGACGTTTGTGCAAAACAAATGAAATATAATTTTGCACTTCAGGAACTGGACTCATAGCATGCTTATGTCTATTAAAAAAATCCTGAACAGTCTGCCCTTTAATTTATTTATAGTATTAATGTAAGTGTATTCTTGAATAGTTGTGACCACCGAGTCACAGGCTTTGGCTCCTACTTTCACAACACTGGGATTAATCTACAGTTTGATGTTTAGGTCAGAAACATACTACTACACATTCAAACAGTTTTGTCATCTGTGCTGCTTTTTTTTTGTCAGCACTGAGGAAGATGTACTGGCCTCCCTCAGCTTCAGTACTGTCAGAAGATTGTTCTTGCATTTTCTTAGTGACTTTTGACACTATTTCTTCTCAAAAAGGTTTGGAATAAAACGGAAAAACCTGGAAGGTCAGGACAGGGAAAGATTTCTGATTATTTTGTCACTTCCCTTTCCCCAGGATGTGTATGAGCAGACTGCGTGTTGCTGGTTTTGCAAAGTCAGATGACATGCTTTCTTCCTCCTCCTGGAAGCAAAGACCATATAAAATGAAATTGTTCCTATCTTCTTATTTTACTGTCTTTCTGTTCTTAGATAGATAGGAAATGATGAACAGTGGTTCTTGTCAAGAACCTTCTAAGAGATGCCTCCAAAAGGCAAGCAGCATGTAGAATAATTGAAAGCCTTGAACTCAAATGAAAATTGTAGCACTGCTCCTTCCTCACTTGAGGCAAAAGGTACTTCCCGAGCACTGCGCCTCACTCATTGCCCATGTGCGCCAGTTACTGCAATAGCTGTAGCTGACATCTGACGTTTGCAGATATCGTGGTAGATCATAAACAGAGCAAAGGCTTGCAAAGGGAAGCAGGATAAGCAGCTGTAATTTTGTTGAGTAAATTGGGCTAGTACCTTAAGGCTAGCTGTGTTGTTTTTAATGCTTTCATCCCTGGGGTTTTAGTCCCTGGTGTAAGCTGGTCTGCCTTGTTTCCCCTGCAGGCAAGTGGGGGGGAATGTTCTGACTGAGAGCCATACAATGCTGCATAACCTGGAAAAAATTGGCACAGTACACCTGACAGCATCCATCTTAAAATTGTGGGCTGCTTCTGATTTCAACCTTGGACTGCTTCAGTTCTCCCGCTACCAAAAGGGCTAATGATGATTTGTTAATAGGGTGTTATGAGATGTTGTTTGAAGCAGCTACATTTCTAAGGTAAAACACAAGCTGCAAAGCTCAATGTAGGAGGCTCACAGCTGCCTGGTACTGCCTTACACCCTTCCCTAGGCGGCTGGCTGGAGTCTTTTGTCAGAGGGATCTTTGGGCAGCTGAGGTCATTCCTTATAGCTGCCGAATGATGCCAGGCTCGAGAGGAGACTCCAAAGACAGCAACAGCTCCTTCCTGAGTGACACTGCAGCAGGCAGCATGCTGTTTGCTGGGCAATGGGGCAGGAGCTCCCTCCCCGCCTGCAGCCTTCCTCCCTCCACCCCTATGGCCTGTGGGGAAAAATAGCCTGGCTGTGGTACAGGCTTGGGGGTAACACAGGGACAGGATCTCCAGCTGGGGAAGTGCTTTGATCTCAGTATTGCCTAACAGGGGAGAGGCTGATTTTTTTTTTTTTTTTTTTTTTTTTTCCTAAATTTCAAGATGACAAGCTGAGCAGGTGGGGAGCTGCTAGCATATTGTGCTGTACTGACACTTATGTTTTCCTTGAAGCTGAAAGCTTCCGTCTATTATAGTCTACCACACCTTAACTGGTTCCACCACTAATGCACTGTCACTTAAGACACCAGCCAGTGCTAAAGGCCTGAGACAGACCTGCCTTGGCCTGGTATGTTGTTAATCTATTCTATTGCAAATGGGAATGTTGTCCTGTAGGTGCTGACTCTCCTCCCAAGTCCTTCAAACATGTTTTTTGGCTTGTCCCAATCTTGTTCCCCTCACTTATATCTCTGGTCTAGCAGGTGTCTGGTCCTGGCAGTTCTAGTTCCTGTCTCCTAACTTTATTTCAAGACCAAAGATGCCAGGACCTTTTTGGCAATGTATTTTCCCTGCCCTGCAGCTGAATCACCCAGACAGACAATTTCAATGGCAGGTGCCTGCCCTCCTCTTCTGGAAAATTCTGGTTAGGGCAATAGAAACATTCTGAGAATGGAAAGGAAAGAGGTATTTAATAACCCTGAGAAAGCTGTATTTAATATGGCAAATTTCAACTTGATTATTCAGTAAGAAGCTGGTAGAGTTTGATAATGGGCAGCTGTAATAACAGACACTATTACCATGACTAGTCCATAAGCCTTACTTGAGTTGTAATGATATCAATTTGCTTAAAACATACAAGTGTGGTGCCAGAGAATCTATAGCTTGTCTAGTTACCATGATGATTCAAAGTTCATGAATGTGTTATCTTCAGTTTGTTGGCTTTGCTCTACTGTTTGAGGTTTTTTTGAGTTTTTTTCTTTGCTTCCACTGTGGCTCATGTAACTAGCACTTATTTTAACCATTCTTAAATTATGTTTAAAAAAGGAGTGGGGAGAGGTGTGGGTCTTCACTGTAGTGCCAATTAATGTTTACTGATAGTGGAATTAGACCCCATCCGAGTTTGCTTTCAGTATGTTATTGAAAAAGGATTAATAGAGAAACAGGGTTTTAGAGAATTTAACTGTAGGAATGTTGGCTGTGCCACCATTATTAAAGATCGGGAAGGAGACAAATACTTCACCAAGAGAGGCAGGCTGAGACTGTCAGCCTGTTCCACATGACCCTGTGATATCCAAGGAAAAAGAGCAGAGCAAGCCTCCTTCTCAGTGGTGTCCTCCCAGCTGAGGCGATCTTTTCTCCTTGCGTCTCCTTTCGGCTGCCGTTGGAGATGACATTTGGCTAGGCAGACCTTTGGTCTGACACAGTACAACTGCTTTTATGTTGTTGAGCCTGATGGGATTTTACTATGTACTTAAGAACATCACTCACAAAGACAAGGCTAAGCAATCCCTGTTCAGTTCAGCAAGCAGGTGCAAATGATCCTTTACCTTTAAAAATTCACTACAGTCCTCCAGGGGAGTAGTGCACACTCTTTGCCACTCTTAGGGTCGGCAATTTACAGAAAAATTTACTGTCTTCCTGGAATGGCTTTACAGCATGCTCCCCTCAAGTTACAGGTCCTTAGGACGGGCTGCTACTCCCCTGTCCTCTTTCCTTGCCTGACCCTTCCCTGCAGTAAGTTGTTAAGAGGAAGGCTCCAAAAAGGCAGAACTCAAACAAGAAACTAAACTCAACCCCCTACTTCCTGCCTTTGTTCAGTGCCCAAAGCACAGCAGGAACTGTTTTTCTGCAGGATCCCGGGTCTGCTGTTTTTCCTTACTTTGTTCCATGCTGGTGTCTTCTGGTAGGGATGGAGTGGATTGGGAAACCTTTCATTCCCACATACCATGAAAAGGAATCGAATCCTCCAGCAACAGGAGAGCAGCAACCTGTGTATTGCACTCTAAGGAAGTTAAATTATGGCAGGTTTGCAGGCTCTACTTGTAAAATTATTTCTGTGAAAGTTATTATTTAGTGCATTTTTATCGCTGTCACGCACAGCCTTAGAAGCACCTCACCTAACATCTTCAGTGATCCTAGAGCCATCTTATAGCCTATACTGGGCCAGACCAAAGACCTATTCAGCCAACTGTCCCATCTCAGTGGCCACAAAAAGCAGGCACAAGAAGAGAGTGAGAGCAGGCAAGAAGGCTATTTACCCCAGTAGCATGGAGCTTACGAACTTCCTTTGCTGGTGTATTTTCCACGAATTTAGTATCCTTCAATGGATTCCCTCTAATGGAAATACCAGTTCTCCTCTTAAATTCATGTCAGCTTTTAGTATCCCTAGTGCCCTTTGGTAAGAACTTCAAAGTTCAACTACACGTTGAGGTATCTGTCACTACCCCTGATTCCACTCCCAGAGTTAACCATCAGCTCACAGCCCAGCCATGAAGCTGGATTATCCCCTGTGCCAAGCTCACTACTTTTCACTTACCCATTTGGTGTTTCACCTGGTTTTACATCTGGTATTGCAAGCTCTTTTTGCAGCTCGTCACAGGCACCCTCAGTCCCCTGAATAAT